CCCCGCCCCCCAAAAAAAACAACCAAACCCAACCAAACAAAAAGCACCCCCCAATAACAACAACAACAAGAACAATAGCTACAGCAAACAACAACAACAACAACAACAACAACAACAACAACGAAAAAACAATATAACTCCTTAGTCTAAACTAAAACGCCGAAATTGAATTGTAAGAAAAACCAGGCGTGTGGCAGTAAAGAAAATAGCAACAATAAGTTAAATTCGTCTCAGAATAGCTGCAATCGAACACTGAAGTAAAAAAAAAAAAAAAAAAAAAAGAAAAGAAGAGAACCCCCCCCCCCCAAAAAAAAAAAAAAAAAAAAAAAAAATTATAAATTGTGGGTGAAGAACAGGATCAGTAAAAAGGGATCTTAAAAGCTGACACACATTTCCAACCTGACACATCTATTGTTCTTATACCCTCACACGAGGTCACTCAATACAAGCGACACGAAAAGGAAATCCAAGAAATAAATCAAACGTACGCCAACAACGACTGACATAATATGAGAATTAAAGCCCCTTTTAGTCTTGATCCTAACTACAACAAAGTTTCAAATATCCCTGAAAATACGATGCAGTTGAAAAAAAAAATGTTTTTGTTTGCCTCTCCCATATCGAATGTTTTCAGGGTCTAAGCCAGTAAAACGTACTGTAGACATGTTGAGAGGAAATAAGTCCATCTCTCATTCGGCACAGTGAAAAATAAAGTCTATAAACTCCCTCCTACCCCCATCCCCCTTCCTTTTTTTGCTATGTTTACCATCAACCTATCCACTCTTTCACGCAGCATACTACACCATTCCGGGCGCATACTAATTTAGTTTAAACAAACCATGTATTGAACCATGGAACCAAGGTTCATCCTCACAATGTTCTGTGTTTATCTTTACCCTTAACCCTTTATATGCTGTCCTCTCTAAACAGACACACGTCTGGGCATGAATGATTAACAAATTATCATCCTATATGTACTCACCCTTGAGGACAGGAAAGATTTAGGGTTAGATATTTCTCATCTTTTCATCCCCCATCAGAATTGTTTTCCGACAGTTGGGGCAAGACCCCATTTCCAGAGTTGAAAATCTGAAACATTCAAAAGAATACAATTTTGAAATTTTACTACGTTACACAGAACGAAATAAGAAACGTCTCTTGTAAAACACATACACACACACGCCACGCGGCGCGCGCGCGCGTGCGGACGCACAAAAATAAACACACATACACACTCACACACTCACACACACACATAAACACACACACACACACACACTCACA